ACCTGTGTCTATGTGCAAATTGGTATCTTATGCGTGGGTTCTGAAAGCACAGGAATGCTAAACTTAGGGAAGGAGATCCAGAGGAAACACAGGCACTTCAGAGCATGTTGATCCTTTTTCTGAGCAAGAATCCTGACATTCCTTCACTGTCCAAATGTGTTTAACTTTTTTTTTTGGCAGCAATAAACATGACAGTTTACTTATTTTAATTTAAGACATGTTTTATTTTAATTAAGTTTAAAACTTTTTTATTTAATGTAAAATTATATTTTGTTTTAATTTACTTTCAAATTCTTCAGTTGCTGAATGGGCTGCATAGTTTTCAGAAATTTCATTGTTCAGAATAGCTATAATTGTACCAGATGGTTGCATTCAGTTAAGTTGGACTAGACTGTAATACAAACGTTCAGTTTGTCAACAATAAAACTGACTGAAATGAGAGAAAGACTGAGTGTGAGACTTCGATATTAGATAAAATGAATATTGATAAAGTTTACCTTTATGTAGAGAATCTGAATATCGCAAAATATTTTTAAAAATTGCAATAATATCGTATCGTGCGTTAAGTATTGTGATAATATCGTATCGTGGGATGTATGGTGATTCCCACCTCTACTTAACACAGTAATTACTCTCCTTGTAATTATCCTAGTGGTAATTTAACACTGCCACTGATGTCTGTAGTATCTGGATATGATATAATTTCTATTGTAAGATCAAATCTGATCTTTAAGATAGAATATAACAGTTGTTGCTGTCAGTTTGTCTCGAGGTAATGTTAGGTTATGCGTTTTATTGGGGAGTCTATGATCGCTTCGGTGAAATCTGAAATCCTTTTATGTGAGATATTGTTAAATATAATTGAATATATGATAAGACAGGGCTACATACTAAGAAAATATCAATAATCTTTTTTCCTTGTATTTCTGTTTATGTGGTTGATTGTTTATTTTGTGTCTTCTTAGAACCACCATGCAGTACATAAGCATGTCCGTATGACACATGTCTCTATCACCTGTTGTTTGTTCATGCAGGTGTTGTCTGTTCAAGCTGATGTCCTACAAATTTCACAATGTCAGTTTATCAATTGGTCTGTCCTAGTCATGATCCAGTAATGACTGCAATTCACTTCATGTTTTGACCCAGAGTGATTTTGTGCTTGTTATTTATGCGCGTAAGTGTGAGAGTGTATTCACTTTGGTTGCTTCATACTGTCTTCATGCTTACGTAAAAGCAGACCCAATTTTCTTTTTCAGGCCACGAATTTGTGTAGCCACAATGGGCCAAAGTAGCTCAGTCATTATTCCAAGAAATTAGCATGGCTGCAGCTAAATTCAATTCAGCTTCCACACTTTGCGCTTTTCCTCTCAAAGAGGAGTAAGAAGCACATCGCACGCTAAACCAGATCATCATAAGAGCGTTCGCTCAAATTGCTCACATTGAATAAAAGTCTAGGTGGTCCAGACAGGCCAATTTTCCAAATGTAGGTTAAGTCCCAGAAGAGACTAATTCAGACTTTAGGTTGCGTTCACCTTCTCAAAAGTTTTAATATTTTAATGCTGTGTATCTTATTTGTTTGTAGCTATACACTCTGGTGGTCAGAGGGAGTCCTGTCCTACCTTCCTGTCCCCTATGATGAAGGTATTGTCAATGAATTTAATGGTTTTAATTGTAAGAAACAGAACTATTTATGAAACTGATTTGAACGACCAACCATCAATGGCTTTGTCTGTCATTGCTTACCATATTCCTTAGCCTAGCAGGAACTGTGTATTTGGTTGCAATTATTGTTGGTAAAAAATAAATGCAAAATAACTCTGCAGACCAATCTAAGGATTCAACAAACCTTATACTGATGTTGTAACTGACTTGTTTAAATATACACTATATTGCCAAATCATTGAGATCAGGTCTTCCAAACACTTTCATGGCCACAGGTAGGGCTGTTCGATACAACGATGTATATCGGATGACGATATAAAAATGTCTATCGTTTCATTTTGTTTCGTGGTGTCGCAAAATAAACTGTTTACTGCAATATTTCTTTCATCGTTTTGATGGTCACTGTAGTGGCCATATTAATTTCTTAAAGTTCTCTCTTTCTCTTATATTTTATATAACCGCACTACGGACGGACAAGTGTCTGTATTTATGCGTTGTCGTTAGCAACAAAGACGATAAAACCATTGCGTGTCCGCTTGTTTGTTTTCCACATAAACCTTTCACAATAAAGCTCAAGATCCTGTTGAGACTTTTCAAAATAAACTGAATCACACTATGCAGAGTATTTACGGATGAGAAGCAAAAAAGAGCCGTCAGGTGCTAAAAAATAAACCTTAGACTCAAACGTTAGAGCAGGCTTTTCCCCGCAGCACGCTGTGTAATAAATACAAGGAAAACGGCGGCCGTTACAACTTATGTCTAAAAATATATTGTTTCACACATCAGTTAAAACACTCGACTCCAGGTACACGACGCCCAGCTGGAAACGCTTCACGCAAGTCGAGCTGCCCGAGATTCACAGAATTTACAGAAAATGTTAAATTTTTGTGATTTATATCGTTATCGGGACGATAATGTCTTATATCAGGATATGAAATTTTGGTCATATCGCACAACCCTAGCCACAGGTGTAAAAATCAAGCACCTAGGCATGCATTCTGCTTCTACAAATGCTTGTGAAAGAATGGGTTGGTCTCATGAGCTTGTCGAATTCCAGTAATATGATAATATACTACCTGTGCAGAAAGTCCCAAGTTCGTTGGGGTGATGAATCTTCTTTAATCTGATGGAGGAGTCTGGGTTTGGTGGTTGCCACAAGAACGTGATCTGCGTGACTCCCTTGTGCCAAGTTAAAATTTTGATGGAGGGGGGATTATGATGTGGGGTTGTGTTTTTTAGGAATTGGGCTCAGTCCCTTAGTTCCAGTGAAAGGAAACTCTTAATGCTTCAAACCAAGACATTTTGGAAAATTTGATGCTCTCAACTTTGTGAGAACAGTTTGGGGATAACCCCTTCCTGTTCAAAGATAGTTGTGTATCACAGTACAAAGCAAGGTCGATTAAAACACTGACTAGCAAGATAGGTGTTGAAGAACTCGAGGTGTCTCGCCTAAACCTAATAGAACACCTTTGAAATAAATTAGAGTGGAGAATCCGAGCTAAGCCTTCTAATCCAACACTAGTGTTTGACCCCACTAATGTGCTTCTGGAAGAATGGCAAAAAATTCCCATAAACACACTCCAAAACCTTGTGGAAGAAGGGTGGGCTGATGTCATATCATATTAAACCTTGTGGATTAAGAATAGGATGTTATTCAATTCAGGCGTGTGATGGCAAATGAGCAAATCCTTTTGGCGATATAGTGTATTTTTGTGTTGAAAGTGTGTGGGTGAAGCGGTTGTAATTGTTATAAATATAAAAAAAAAAATTCTGTTCCTGTTTGGATGCAGTTCCCTGTGAGGAAAATATGAATAAGGTCAAAGTGAAGAGAATGAACCAGTTGGACGAGAGTATTGACATTTACACGGAATTCTTCAAACCGTATGAACTTACCTCCTTTGATGACACGTTCTGCATTGCCATGACCAACTCTGCAAGGTGGATATACACATACAAAAGCAATGATTTTGGTAGTGAAACATGTCTCTGATAAACAGTGTGTTCTGAATTTATTAGCTGTTGTTGTTATGCAGGATGTCGACTAATAGCTATTTTCTGATCATAAAGGGAATTTATGCCCAAAACAGTGGGAGCGGATCCAAACCCATTCACAGTGCGCAAGCCAGAGGAAACAGGAAAATCAGTGCTGGGGTGAGTGTAGAGCTACCATGTACACATCAACCTTTGTGTTGTAGCTTTTTATTTATTACATGAAAAATAAATCAGCCCGATGTCACTGTGCCCTCATGCACACAGCTTTGTTTAACCACAAGCAATGTTACACTTTTCCCCTATTTTTTGAATTCAAAAAACATTTATATGTTAATATATTTTCCAAATAAATATGTATGCACACAGGAAAAAATAGGATAATGCAAGTCCTCATGTGCTTTTCCCTACATTAGCAAGACCCTTACATATGAAATGCTTATTTTTGATTTGCTGTAGAAATAGAAATTAGAATCTACATGTTTAAGCATGCAATTGAAGTCCATTTGTGTTCTGTGCTTCAGATAGCTTTCCCTGTACAAGCTAATCTACATCCCCAAAAGCTGCTCTGTGTACCTGTTGCCATTTTTCTGAGAATAAGAATTGTGTTTCATAACTCTTATCCTTCATATCTGCTTTTTCTTGCTTGCTTTGCAAGGTTCTCCTCCTAATATTGCGGTCAGGGATAACATTTGCAGAATCCTCTGTATACAGAGATCATGGGCTCAAACTCGTACAGCCTTTGGGAACCATGAAGTCTGTTTCAGTTACATGTTTAGTCACATTTCTGCTGGGAGATGTTGTGGAAGAACATGGTGCCATTTCTGATCTGATGACTCATTAGACATGATAAAAATAATCGGGATTCTGCTGCTTGACTAAACTGTAAAATGTACAATACATGAACGATAGTTGTATGTGTTTATACATACGTTGATCTGTGTGCATGCGTGTGGATCTTGGCAGCAGCAAGAGCAGTAAAGAGGAGACGATTCTCCAGAGGAAGACTGCAGCTAGCGCACCTCCTCCCCCGAGTGAGGAGGCCATATCTAGCACATCAGAGGATGACTCCGAGGAGGACCGTGAGGATGAGGGGACTGTATCTCAACGATCCACACCGATCAAACTGCTAACGGAGTCTGGAGAGAGTAGTCGCACCCAGGAGGTATGAACACACAAACACTGTCCTAACAAGGCAGATTCAAATCCCCAAATATATTAAAGGAAGCTATCAGATTTAAATTTGTGGATCTTATTAAATAAATTAAAAATAATTTCACTTCTGAGTGTAATTGTTTAACAATGTAATATCCTCTAATAATTCAAGGATATGTTATGTTGTCTAAAGACCTCCCAGCACTTCTCAGTTTAGGCTGGGTTGCTAACTGTTTATATTTTAGGCCTCAAATGAATGTTGCGTTCCAGTATGAGTATGTCACCCTGGTTGTGTTCTCTCTCGCCCACTTCCCTTAAGTCTCCCAGAAGAAATTAGTTCTTTGTTTTGGTTTACGTCAGACGGAAGAGCAGACGTCACCTTAATCGGTGTCAGTGATAGAGCTGAGGCTCTAAATAGTGTTTGTTTCTTCTAATGCATTGAAGAAATGAATTGAGATAGTTGCACAGTTTCCTCTGTTGTATTATTGCTTACAAATCTACTGCTGCTACTACTCTGCTTGTCAAAGGAAACAAATAAATCCTGCATAATTCCATTTGTTTTTATTTTGGTTTTTCTGGTTCTGTGCACGTGTATTGTGATAGCGTGTAAACCTTTTTGATGTCCTTGATGGTCCCTTTGGGTGAGAATGTGGGGCATGTGCTTCGGGATTTTTGGCTGCTTTTAGAACATCAGGTGATGAGAGGTCACCAGCGGGTTTCCAGCTTGCCTTAATTTTTTGATGACTGATTCGGTTCTCTTTTTTGGTTTCTTGCCAAGGTAGATTTTATGGTCCAAATCAGCTTTGAAAGTATTCTCACATTAAAAGCCTAAAATCACACTAGAGTTAAAAAAAAATACGAGAGGCAGTGAGGAAGAATTTGTTTACCCAATGATTGCACTGAATTCTTTTGCCTTCAAGTAGTTGTGGCAACCGGCTAGTAACAAGAGGTTGAGTATCTTGCACTTTTGATAGTAAATGGATTTCATGGGTCACCTGGTGGGAGGCTACCTGTCTCCAAAAAGTCAGTCTGACTCAGTTTAACTGCAATCACTCTCAGGCAAATTGGTAACAGTTTGAAAATGATTTGAATTTGTAAACACAAAGACAACACAATTGCAACTCGTCTGCTCAACGCATCTCTTTGCAATAGGGAACTCGACTCGGCTGGTTGCCAACAGGTTGTGTTCTAGTTTTATTCCTATATCAAGCAACTGCATTATTATTTGTGGAGGCATTTCTCTTCTCTTTTCAAATCTATGAGAAGACAGTAGTTGTGGCTGTTTCAGTGACTGGTCCCCGTCAGTTAAAAAAACATTTCAAAGTCGATGAAACTCCAAATTCAGTGCACACAGTCGCAATAGCTGTGGTCGTGCTGACGTCTCTAACCACTGTTCCTTAGTGTGACCACAGCATTGATGAATTTAAGGACATTAATAACTGCGGATAAGTACTGCGTCGTCCTACCATGTAGCAAGAGAATTTGAGAGTGAGTAGAGCTTGCAGTGGATATTCTTAGAGATGCATTCATCCATTCATTTTCTTAACCATGTATCCAACTAAGACTGATGGCAGCTACAGCCTCTCCTGGCTGACACTGGGCAAGATCCATGCATACCAAATTAGGCAGAGCTGTAGACTTGCATGTAAGACCTTTTTAGGCCTAAAAGGAATATTTTCATTGAAAAAAATTCTCAATATGCGATTCTCATAAATGCTTTTGCTACTTTCTAAACAGACACATCAGTGTATAGTTCATCAAATGCAGTGAAATCTGTGTATGTGTGTAGAGATTAGTAACGAACTTTTGTCATGTCCTGTCTATATCGGTATCTGTTTCATGTCCCGGGGGGACTGGATGCACGTTTTGACCCAGATTCCCTATAAGCACAGTGAGACCAAGAAGCACATTAATGAGCACAGGTAGAGTAGGTCAGTGTGTCAACAGGACTGATGCACCAGATAACTACATCCTCTTAAAATGTCTCAGTTTCTAAGAAATTACCTTTGTCATGCATGAAGGAGCCCCCAGTGATGTGTAAACTGTTGGTTTCAGAGTTATTATATTGCCTTTGCTACCGAAGCTGCTCACAGTCATCATGACATCATGACATGACATGAAAAAAAGACAAAACTAAAACAAACGCTGTTGCTGTTGTGACAGTGATGTACACTGTCTTGTTGGTATATATGTATGATTTGTATCACCTTCATGTTTCCAAACCAATATCATGAGCAGCAGCTTTTACAGCTGTGGCTCCAGCAAACATCAGCTGATACTAGAAATTAATTTAAAATAAATTATAACAACAGCTTATCAAGCTTGAACGTGCTGCTGTTGTTGTTTAGTGCAACATCCGCTGGTTTCCTGTTTCTGGCGCAAAGTGGGAGATAAACAAACAAGAGAGACGATCAGCTGATCATTGATCAGTTTCATGATTGGAGTAGCAACAGGAGAGGGAGGGAGGGAGGGAGAATGAGGGGAGAAGAGGCAGCTGACAGCGTAAAGACAGAATAACTCCAGCTTTGTGTCTTTTTTTCATTCTAGCTGAAGTACGGGACTAATCGCGTTCCTTTTCCCCTCAATACGGATGTATTGTAATTGGTCCAGCCCAGAGTTGATCATGACCAATTGGCTAATCCACCACCTTTCATTGTTTATACCGTTACAAAAACAAACAAACATAAAAATGAAAAATCATCATCAGCCCACCGGGCAAATGCCCGGGATGCCCAATGGCCAGTCCAGCTATGCGGTCAGCTGGTGGGTAACAAGGCATCTCCGTAAACGTTAGAGCACGTATGCAAATATGTGATGTCTTGATGAATCGAGCAGATATTAGAAGTTTACACAGCACCATTCTTGCATGAAAATATCTTTAAAGTTTATTTTGTGACCCAGAAAGAGTAATATTTCAAACTCCGCCACTCTGTGTTCCTCCGCCACTGCCTCGTTTGAATTTTGGACGAAATGGATTCTGGGATATTGCATTTCGTCATTTCGAGCTGATTGGAGACCAGAACAGCCAATCAGATATTTTTGCATCCAAGTCTGTGATTGGCTGGTTTTGTGGCACAAATATAACAGTGTAGAGAAAGAGTTGAGGGCGCACGGGCAGAAGAGTTGAGGGCGCACAGGCAGAAATGTTGAGGGCGCACGGGCAGAAATGTCGAGAGCGCGAGCAACACATTGCGAGCGAGCGCAAATGCAAAAACTGAGCGAGAGTTTTTGCATTTGCGCTCAAATGCAAAAACTTGTTTGGATAATAGCAAACACTGAAATACATTTTTTGCACGCAGGAATGAATTTTGTTCACTCAAATTCAGCTTTTCTTCGCTCAAAATAAATTTCTCCTCAAAATACAACACTTGCACCTGCAAACTTTTTTTACGTGCGCTCAAATTTGTTTTACGTGCGCTCAGAATAGTGGCACAAAAATAACGCCATAGACATCAGCAGAAGTGTGTTGACTGCGTGCACCTTGTCCCACCTTGATTGAAGCCACAATCTCAGGTGATTTGTTGACTGTTGACTTAACAGTGTGATGTTCCTGAAGGTGCGTGCGTGTGTGCGTG